TACTTGGCTTACCTTAATAATTACCTTTCAAGTGACAAAAGAAGTGATATTAGGAACCATTATTCTGGATCTTATTCTGATCAAGGAGGAGCAGGTTGATAAAGTTAAAATTATGGAATCTTAAGGGTCCCCAAAATTTTGATAGGTCAGGAGAAGCAAACAGAGCATAATCATATACAGTATAAATTTTGAGAGAACAAATTCAGTAGTTTCAGAAAAAGAAAAAAAAGATTGGAAGCAGCATATAGCCTAAGATTTTGTAGGAAAGTATACCCCAGAAGGATAGGAAGTTTTTAAGAAGGAAATTCTGATGGCACAATAACAAACACTTATAGTATTTATATATCTGGTTTCTGGCCTTCTCACTCAAGTTATACTGCTCTCTTCAAAGTTACCAATAATCTCCTAATCATCACATTGAATGGCCTTTTTTCCTCAATCTTTATCCTTCTTGACCTGTCTGCAGAATTTGTGAAACTCTCAAGGTAGAAGTTTAAAAAGTTTAAGAAAAGAAGTTAAAAAAAATCAATGTGATCTTGACTATAATCTTCCTTGGTTCTTTTCTTTTCTGATTACTCCTTAGTTTCCTTTGTTGGATTACCATCCTGGCCACATTCATTGACTGTGTTTGTAGACGAAGACTGTGTCCTGGGTCTTTTTATCTCTTTCAACTTTCTTATTTGGCAAACCTTAGCAACTAACATGAATTTAATTATCATCTATATGCAAACAATTCTCAGATAATACCCTGTTTACTCTCCTGAGCTCCAGCACTAAATAATTGACCTCTTATTGGACATTTCAAATTGAATTACTATAGATAACTAAAACTTAATGTGTCCAAAATAAAATTCACTGTCTTTCCTACAAAATACACTTCTCTTCTCAATTTCACTATTACTGTGGAGGATTGGTTAGCCTTGTTTGAAAGCATACAATATTTGAAAGAGATCATTATCAATACTGAGCAGACCATAAAAAAGGTTTATTGAAAAAATTGAATAATTTGGCTAAGAATATTTTAATCTGAATTATAAAACATATCTCATTTTAAATATTGACATTTTCCTATAAGGACAATAAAGGAACTATATCCATTAAAACACAAAATATAATGCTAATCCAAGAAGCACTTACAAGGCACCTACTTTGTGTTAAGTCACTGTGCTAAATGGTGGTTTTAAAAAGAGAAAATACATAAAAGTCTTTGCCCTTAAGAAACTTATACTTGACATGAGGAATCAAAATGTAAAGATGTAAATATATAAATAATAAGTTGAGGAGGAAAGAGGAAGCACTAACAACTGAAGGAATCAGGGAAGACTTCTAGTAAAAAGATAATCCATGATCTAAGCCTTGAATGAAACCAGAGTTTCTAAGAGTTAGAGGTGAAGAAAGAGTATATTCTAAGCATGGAGTATTGACTGGGCAAAAAGCAGAGTCAGTACATAGAATGATGAGTTTGGGTAATAGCAATGGATCAATTTGGCTGAAATATAGAAGGAAGTTGTATGAAATAAGTCTGAAAAGTACACTAGATCCAGATGGTCAAGCTGAGGAGTTTTTATTGCATTCTAGAGGAAAATGGGAGCCATTAAGGTTTCCTGAGCAGGGGAATGACATGGTCAGACCTATGCTTTAGATTAATAATTACTTGGAAGCTATATGATTAGTGTATTATAGAGGACACTGGAAGTTCAGTTGAGAGGATGTTTGAATAAGGTCCAAGTGATGAGGACCTGAACTATAACAGTAACCATCTTATTGGAAAAAGGGAATGCGTATAAAATATGTTTTGGAGTTAGAATTTAAAAAACATTAAATATGGGAGACTAAGGCAAAGGGAGGAATTGAAGGTGACTCCGAAGTTATAAACAGATGTGGCTGAAAGGATGATGTGACCTGGACCATAAATAGGGAACCTTGGAGAACAGATACATTTGGCTGTTTTTTATTTTTTATTTTTTGCTTTGTTTTGTTTTATTTTTTAAGTTCTATTTTGGACATGTTGAGTTTGAGGTGTATATTTAGGTGGAGTTGTCTGACAGCTATTGATGATGGAATGGAACTTAGGGAAGACAGTAGGACTGAATTTATAAATCCTGGAGCCACCAAATTAAAGATAATTGAACCACTGGAAACTGATGAAATCCCAGAGAGGGGAAGTAAATAGAAAGATGAATGCTATAAAAATGTCTCAGAGTATAATCTTGCACAGGGGGTGGGACACAGATGCAGCAAATGGAACTGGATACAGCAAATTAGACAGAGAAGATGCAGTCAGACAAATAGGAGATTTAGGAGAGAATGTCCAGGAGGAAGAGATATTCAATAGATTCAAATGCTATTGAGAAGTCGAGGAGAGGGATAACTGAGGAAAGATTATTTAAATGTAGCAATTAAGACATAATAAGTGTTGAGGTCAGAAGTCAGATTACAAGGGTTTAAGACGTTGGTATTATGCTTACAAGATAAAGACATCATGATATATGTCAAAAGCAAACTAATTTGCCAAGTCTTATATATTCAATAGAAGAGGGAATTTGATTATATATAAGATAATAAGTCATATTGATATTACAGGTAATGGTCTGAATTCTGTATGCTAAAGATTTTTTTTAAGTAGTGAGATATGTATGTATGTGCGTATTTGTGTGTATTTGTGTGTGTGTATGTTTCACCAATTGCATTAAAACTCCAGGGCCTGTGTTCAGTTTAGAGACAAGAAGTATAATTATTTACCTATAATATGGTTACCTAAAAGAGGATATTTTAGAGAAGAAAATCAATAAAAATGAGTAAAAACCAAAAATACATAGTGTGCTTAGGAAACAAAAGTAAATGTTTAATATGTAAGATAGAAATAATATTTTATACTTATTTTTTAATTCTCATTCCAAGTAAATAAATTTGTAAAAATTCCTCTATTTTACATCTGAAGCTATTAAAAAAGGCTGAATAGAAAAGTTATTCAATGACAGGTAACAAGGTTAAACTTAGGAAAAATGCATCATGCAAACACATCTACATACAAGAACACACACACCCCCACACACAGTTTAGGTATGGATTTTCCAAGGCAATTTTCTAATCCAAAGTTTCTTTTCCCCTATTCTTGTTACTCTTTTTTTTCAACTTACAATAGGCAAATACACCTTTTTCAAGTTATTTGAAGTGCTACTTCCTGAAGAATATCAACTAATTAAATTGATTAGAAAATTAATGATTCTCTATGTCAGGTATTACCATTGGTTGTTTTGTTTTGTTTTGTTTTCAGGAACTTTGATGTAATCATATATATCATATGTTCATCCAAATATATCTATGTCATTCATACATTTGTATACATGTATAAATGTCAAACATGCATATTTGTATATTAATACACATCATTAAAACTCAGCAATATAAATGTTATGCAAGTATTTTATTATTTTGTTAGAAACTTTAGAAATATTAATTTGATATTTGTGTAAAGAGCTATTTGTCAAGGATATTGCCCAACATGTGTAGCTGGATATATAATAAACTAATTCATAATATCTGATTCAACCATCTATACTATTGAGTAAGTAAAAGGTCCTAGAGCACCTAATGTAGATGGAAATTAGAGAGAAATTATAATAATTTCTGCTCACAAATATCATCATATTCTGCAGTTCTTAGATTATAAATTCCTCAATGTGCTTATACATAATTGTTCACCAATCAAAGTCCATGTCAAATATAGAGCAAATAATTTGTGTCAAAAGAACATAGAGTCTCAACTTAATTAGTAAAAGGAATTATCCTATTGTTGGATAATAACGGTTATTCCCTAGACCCAGTAGCTGCTTAATATGACAGTCCTTGATGTTTAAAAACAAAGTGTACAAGGGTTGCTTTTATGGCCCTGCCCATGGCATCTGCAGAATTTGCCTAGCCTTAATGATTTGCAGTGATTTTAAAAAAAAGAAAGAAAGAAAGAAAGAAAAGAAACTATTTCTCTATTCACTTCAAAAATCATAAAGGGACTTTGGAGGGCCTGTCAGTACTGAGAACAAATGGGGCAATTCCACCATTAAACAGATAGCAAATGAAATTAAACCCAATATTCACAGATCCAGACTTACAAAGGGAAACTAGCATAGGAATGTGACATTATATATTTCCTGTTTGACACATCTTTCAGAAACTGTGAAAGCAATTTAATTTTAAAATGAAATTAGGACTAACACATGGAAAAAATCACATTTAACCTTGAAAGACTGAAAAATGTGTAACTGACATACCATTGTGACTGATTAGAAAAATTTTTGTTCACACAAATGAGGGCCCTACAGAAATTATTTTTTGTGTTGCTGAGTAGTTTTAGTTGTGTCCAACTGTTCATGACTCCATTTGAGGTTTTCTTGGCAAAGATACTGGACTAATTTGGAATTTTCTTCTCCAGCTCATTTTACAGATGAGGATCTGAGGCAAACAGGGTTAACTGACTTGCCCAGGATCATACAGCTAAAAGTGTCTGAAATTGGATTTGAACTCATGAGGATGAGTCTTCCTGATTCCAAACCCTGTGACTTATTCATTGCATCACCTAGCTGCACAGAAATTGTTTAGATAAAAATAATTATATTTTTTGAACTTTTAGAAACTTTTAAAGTTTCCTACATCTAAAAATATAAAAATATAATTACATGTATACATAAACACAAACACATATACATATACACATATGAATACGTATGTGAAATACAAAATGTGTTTCAAAAAGTTTTCATTTTTGTTAATTTTTAGTGTATGTGATATTTTTTGTAGAATTCCTATAGGAATTTGTAATCTTTTAGGGGGAAAATATAACTAAATTGGGAAATCAAGCTATAAGTACGTCACTTAACTGAATGGTGATAGCCTACAAATGCTAATAGATATTGATTTTAATCTTTGACATCCTATTTAAGTTTGGGCTTTCTTTCATTAAACCAGTGGTGGAGAAAAGAAGACAATCAACACATACTTACTTGTGATGCAGTTTCTCGAGACTGACCCAAAAGGAAAAAGAAAGAAAGAAAACAAAATACATTTTAAAGAATGACTGAACAAATATACACATGGACCAGCCAGAGGCAATAAAAAAAACATTTTACACACATACAAACAGACATGATCCAACTTCATATATTTACAAAATGACAATTTACCAACATTAGAAAATCTATCATTTTAAAAGGTTATATAATATTTGCTTATATTAAATTGATTTCCCCCCCAGAATTGTCAATGGCAGATTTGGGAAAGGGGGAGCTGGGAAATTAGGAGAAAGAAATGACCCTAGTAGATGGAGATAAAATTATTGTATAGTATATTAGGTTTATTTGTAAGCCCATGTCTTTAAATTCAGGACTTTTAATTCCTCTTAAATATAGATGAAGAGAAACTACACACACACACACACATACATATGTGTGTATATGTGCATATTTATATAGGTATGCATATATGTATGCATATAATGTACACACAAAATATATTGTTAAATTGATACCCTACTGTATTTTATATCATTTATTAAGAATTTATGCAATCACTGTTTATCAGTACTTATAGGACTTGATTGTATAGGCCTCAGTGGTACAGTTGGTAAGCTGTGAGTTTTTGCTGACTATGGAGGGATGTGAGTCAACCTGATCATAAGATGTTTGCCCACCTTAAGACCTTCCAGAGGTTACTGACTAACTCAGTGTTTTCCCTATTGCCAGGGATTCTGGAGATCCCTTCCTGTAAGTAAATATGAAGAAGCAAAATGTAAGTCCCCACTTCACCCTTCTTTAAGATCAACCACAACATTAGTTTACTTTGCATCACTGGACCTTATGTAACTAACTGTATTAAAAGCTGCTCTATCAAATGGGTATTTGGCTACTGAGGAATCATTGACCTCCTTTTATTGGCAATTGCTAACCTTGCTAAAAAATTGATCATTCTCAGACCTTTGTGCCTCAGTTTCTCTTTATCATAGATGTTTATTGTGATAAATTATATATATATAGTTATAAATTCTGCATTTATCCTGAATCTAAAGTATGAAGTATAAGTATGAATATGTTTCATAATGTTTAAAATGGAATTAATATTTGATCATCTTACTTTCTTGTTATTTAAAACACTGCTACTTTAAAATAAATATCTAGCATACTTTTTTGTGGGAGCAATTTTTTAGAAATAATCTTTTATTTTTAATAGAGAATGAACACTAGTATTTTGAAATGTATATCCAATAGATTTCAGTCTTGCCTGAAGTTTAATTAAGTTCCCAAGTCAGCACATAAGAAGAAAACTCATAATAAAAACTACCTCCTCTAAGCAGCAATGCTCCAAGTTGAAAAGCCTCTGGCATGATGGAACAACATAAATAAGTATATACTTCACTATTTCTTTTTCCACTCCAATTATTTTTAGCCTTAAATTAATAATTTTCTTGTTTCCTATGAAAATACTTGCATTTCTCCAATAACATTCTATTTGGACACCAAATCAGACTGGGAAGGTAACTATGGGATCTCAATTCCAGTGAAGTACAATCTGGTAAATCTAACATGCTATAAATATGAATACCATGGTGGACTATAGATCCCTTGTGTGGTGATCATATTCCCTACATTTAAATTCAAAGATTGGCCATGGCAATTTTTTTTTTCCACAGTAACTGTTAAAAACTATCAAGTTATGAGGGACTAAAATTTTCAAGGTTGGAAAAGTATCTATGCTTATGAAATTATAAGTCCTTTAAGTATTGATTTATTCAAAATTTTAATAAAATCATGTCTTTCATTGGGTAGCCCCCGAGTATGTTTGCATACACACATAATATAAGCACATATTCACATTCATACAACACATAAGCATAAAGCATGCATGTATGTGTGTTATATATATACACATGTATATGTGCATACACATGTGAATTTATGCATGCGGATACACTGGAATATTGATAGAAATGGACAATGAGTTGGTCAGAGACTAGGAAGTAGAGAAAATGATGGATTGCATTCAGGAAACTAGGCTTCAGTGATTCCTAAGTTGCTCCCTGAAACAAACAACCCACATTTCTAACATTAATATTCTTTTGATGACATAATATAGCTAGGCTGTGAACCATTGAAACACCAAAATCATCAAAGGGCCAAATTCTGGGTATCCCAAAGGACAATGAAAAAATGTATATGCTCATGAATATGCTTCAGTGTAATATATTAACAACAACAGCCTATTTGAAAGAAGAATCACAAAACATATAATTTAGGAAACATCTGATCAGAAATTGAGGTGTGTTGATCATGAAACTAGAGCAGAGGATAACAGATAGCAGTACCATATTGGTTCCACCCACAGAATGTTAAAAAAAAAAAAAAGGCCTGTACTGATATTCTAAATCTAATGTCTGAGGGAATACCCTAGTCAAATTCAGGAACTTCTTATAGTCTATATATTTCCTTTATAAAGGACTTATGAGAGGACATGAGTGACACATAATATGAGAAGTTATGGATGTTTTGCAATCTACATTGTTGTAAAGAATTTACATATTGTTAAGATCACGAATCCTTTAAAGTATCCAAGTAGGTGGATATCTCCTCTGGAATGCCAGAGTGCCACAGTACACTCTCCTTGGTCCTAAGAGTTCTGAACAAAACTTTTACAAATGACAAATGAAGGCAAACATAACCTTTGTGCCAACTGTAAATTTGATAACCATTTGTGCCAACCTTAAATTTGATCACCATGCCTTTTATAGGCATGGCTATCAAATTGACAACTGCCACAGAGGTTAAATTTTTCATGATAAAGTCAGGGTCATAAAATATATCAACAGGTTAAAATGATGGGCTAATTCTAAAAAAAGATAAAAGATTGAATACTTAAAACATATCCCTAAAGAACTACACAGGAGTTTTAAAAATTCAAGACAAAACTAAAAGGTATCTATGAAGCTTACATTTCAACCTCACAAATATAGAAGGGGGTAGGGAAGTTCACTACAAATCACAAGAAAAGAAAGTAAGTGGCAGGTAAACTGAATATAAGTCTTCTGGGTAATAACGATGACCAAAAACAAACAAACAAAAAATTTCTTTGTAAATCAAAATCTCTAACTTCACCTGTATAGGTGCCATTTCCTTCTCCAACTCATCTTACAGATGAGGAAACTGAGGCAAATAAGGTTAAATGACTTGCCTAGGGACACATAGCTATTAAGTGACGTGAGATTTGAACTCAGAAAGAGGAGAATTCCTGACTCTAGGCCCAGCAATCTGACCAATGCATTACCTAGCTACCCAGAATTTCTCCCTGTTGCCTTCCTCATTCATGTCTGTGTGTTCTGGTAACACCAATTCACATTTCTAAAAGTCTGCTACATTGCAGGGCAAACTCTTCTTACTGAATTATATAATTAGTAACTACCTTCCATTTGTTAAGTAATCACATGAAAAATAGGCAAATGAGAAAGATCCAATGCATATTTCATTTATTTTTAGTTACTTATGATTACCAATATCTAACATTGCCCCAAGTCTATTCATACGGCATTACCCGGTTGTAACTTTAGAAGCCAAAGACTATTCATGGCAATGAGTCTCAATGTCACGCTCTAACTAAAACCAACTGAGAATTCTCCTTTTTTTTTCTTTACCGAGCAACCTTAAATCTGGAGCAAACTTTGTAGATAAAAATAGCATGCTTGATTCATATTTATTATACTGTCAGCAGAGACTATATGCAGAACTGATTTTCTTCTAACTGGTGCCCGAGTGCTTATGGATGCAGAACAACAGCAGAAGCTGGGACAATTAGCATAACAGTAGAATTCAGCTGATTACAAAGTGAGACTATTTCCAGGAAGAGCAAGCCGACCAACAGTGATAGTTATCAGTGTTGTCTTACAGCTAATACCTAAGTTCGGGAATTTTAAAATCTAATTTATATGTGGACGTTTGTTTGAAATGAAAATATTTTAGCAATCACTAAAGTTTTCAGATATCACAAAGCAGTTACTATACTGAATAGAAGTGAAAGCTGGCAATCAGAGTGTCAAAATGAACTATTAACTTCTGCAAAACTCTAATTTTTGTCCAATTTTTAAAATTTTGTCTAATTTTTGTCATTCTTAGAGTTTAAAATTTACTTTTAAAAATCACTTTTCAATATTATGCATTGCTGAAACTTTAAAGAAAGTCCATGGCTGAATCACATACATTTTTAAAATTATTCTTTACAGATCACTATTCAAATAAAAAAGTAAGTTAAATTATACAGTAATAAATATAAAAATAGATACTCTTTGGGCAGTATTCTAATCATTCCCTCTTTCCTTTTTGGATAGGAATGTGAGCAACCCAACAGTTCTTGGTCAGATGGAAGTAGACCAGATATAATGTTGTATTTATAAATCCCTGACAGAGGAGCAGCTATGTGGCACAGTGGATACAGCACCGGCCCTGGATTCAGGAGGACCTGAGTTCAGATCCTGCCTCAGACACATAACACTCACTAACGGTGTGACCCCGGGCAAGTCACTTAACCCCATTGCCTAGCCAAAACAAAAATAAATAAATAAATAAATCCCTGAGAGGCTACTGATGAATCTTTAATATATAGGTGGATTTGAAGGTCAAAGGGCAAGGAGCACAGCCTTAGGTACCACTCAAGAGATGATCTCTGAAAGTGGTACAAAATCTGTTTTCTCTCATCCTTACTGCCTAGTTTATTCCTATATGGTTAGTCAAGGTGCAAGCATATGCACGTGTGCATGTGTGTGTACATATGGGTACATATGGCCCTTTATCACAATATTATTTCTTATTCCATTGCTGCATTTTGTATGCAGAATTCATAGAATTCAATGTTCTTTACTTTTAAAATTAGCTACTTAAAATCTTTGGGTTTTGTGAAAATAAATCATTTTAGCATCATTTAAAATTATGGGCTTAAATCTTCTACGTAACAGAAATGTCCCCACTACCACCATCACCACTACCCCACCCCTGCCACTGGCATTTGCACCAAAGGCCTACTTTTATTTTTCTGGAAGGATAGGATGATGTGGATTTATTAAAGCACTTAATAATTAATTAATCAATTAATAATGAAAATTGTTTCTACAAAGTTTATGACAGTATTATTATATGTATAATATGTATATATAAAGATAAACTAGTCAGAGAAAAATAATTTACATACAAATTATTTTATTGTAATAGTATTTTTGAAAATATTTCCAAAAATATATTTATGGCCTGCAAGACCTTAAAATGAAGCAGAGTAAATAAATATCTCTGTTAAAACTTCTAGAGAAAAAGTTCTTTGGATCTAGTATAGATGAATTGGATGTCCAACTACTGTGTTGGAATTAAATGTCGTTTAACTCCAATTCCTTTCCTCTGTTCAGGCTATACATTATTCTGTATGTTTTTCCTTGTATGGTAAGTTATTTGGGAGTTTAGTTTGCATGATTTCTTTGAGGCAGAAGTTGACATTAGTTGAAGAGTAATTGCTCATTTATGGCAAAATCTCTACCTATAATGCAAACAGTATATAATAATGTTCTTTCATTATAAGAAGTTCCTGTTACATTTATAGAGACTAATTTAAATGGTATCATTCATTGACTAGAACTCACTGTGACCTGATTGACTAAGCAGAATTTCTATGAGCCATCTGTTAGGAAATAGAAATGATTTTGTTATAGGAAACATTTCTGTGTAATGGGGCTTTAATCTATGTTATAAAGCATGTATTTGACAGATCATAATTAACAGTACTGAAGTAGAAATGCTTTCCCTAAACATGAAAATTATTTCCTCCTTGAAATTTTAATGAGTAATTGTGCGGATTCTTTTTGCAATTGTGAGCTTTACATTTTAATAGACGTGGAAAATAAACTTTTGATTTCATTGATATAGAGAGCTCTCAGATGAGGAAACTCTCTATCAAACTGTAAATTCTTGTCATCAACTTTTCCGAAAGTTGTCATCTTACAGTGTTTCCTAGAAGACTGAGGTTAACCGTTTCCCCAGAGTCACAGTGTTGTTTGTCCTTTGTTCTCAAAAAGGATCAATTACATAACAAGGGTGATGTCTTATTGGATTTCAGTGAGGCAAAGCTGAATCAAATTGTAGCTTCATTCTCTCCTTCAGAGTTATCAACATCCAGTATCAAAAGTCAAGATGACAGGCCCAGGATGCAGTGAGTGACCTTGGTATTTCTAAATTAAGGTCTTTCCCAGGTCTCAGTTTGTCTGAAGCAATGCCCATTCAACGACTAAGGGTCAGGTAAGAATTTAGACAAAAGATGGCCAATTTATCACCATGAAAATATCAATCTGGGAGGTGAAGACCCTCAGAGTTTCTGGCCAGAATGAAAAACAATTGCTATTTACATTCATTCTAAGCCATAAAACCTAAACAAAACAAGTTACAGAGGCTTGGTCTGGGGCTATTATTTGCCATTCAGTGAAAGCCAGAGTGATTTGGATTTAAAAGCATAGTCAAATAGCTCCATTTGAAACACAATGAGCTTTTTTAAAGTCTATTTTTCTAGAGCTGTATTTCAAGAAATCATAGATGTGAACTACACAGGACAAAAAGTAAATTGCCCCAGCTTAAAAAACATATATAATAAATCAATCAACTAATTTTTTTAAAATCTAGTCCCAAACTCCAAAATATCTTACATGAGGTGAGAGAAGGAGGAGGAGGAGGAGGAAGAGGAGAAGAAGGAGAAGAAGAAGGAGGAGAAGGAGAAGAAGAAGGAGAAGGAGAAGGAGAAGGAGAAGGAGGAGAAGGAGAAGGAGAAGGAGAAGGAGAAGGAGAAGGAGAAGGAGAAGGAGAAGGAGAAGGAGAAGGAGAAGGAGAAGGAGAAGGAGAA